AGACGTAACAATATTATTGTTTATTTTGTTTCTGTTCAGAATCTTTGTGCAAAGATACAGAAATGCCGTTTCTCTGCATATAGCCGTCCTTAATTTTGAATTAATCGAATAGATTGGAACAACCCTCACCGTCAACGCTTAGGTTACTTTTGTCTGACCACATAATAGGATTTGACTGTCACTCTTATATTAGAACCACGTCACAAAAGTTTTCTGAGGTAATGAAGCATCAGATTCACAGTCCGAGAATGCATACAATTAGACCACATCCAATCAAAATATATAAATCAGTAAGATTAGCAATTTCCTGTGACATACTGAGACATAAATACAACATACTTTGCTAAATTATTATGGCTGTAGAATAAAATAAGACCAGTCACAGTACAAGTACTGACAACTAATGATCATCGAAATCTTCACAGTAAATGCTAAAATAAAATATTTTATGTAATCTACATGTGTAACAAGGTCCTACAAATTATAAAAGGTGTTTTATATCGAAAAATCATCCAGTACTTACACTGTACTGGAACTATGATTAAATACTATAGCTGGTGGTAGTCATATTTTATTGGGGCTCGGTGTATTTACATGGAAGGATGTCCTGAAATTTTTCTTGATGACAAATATTCTCACGTCATGGTCTTAAAGTATCCCTATAATTTAAAAATTGATATCTTGGACATGATTTACTATAGAATTAGGAGTTTGACGCAAAGTCATTTATAGGGTAAAAGTCATATATGTATCTGCACCCATACTTTGAGAACAGAATGACATTATGGTATATATATATAGGTGAAACTGATTTTTCTAGGAATAACGAGATTAATCTGCTGAATAAAAGAAGATTCATCAAAATATTTATCATAGAGCAGTTTTGAATTTCTCTGAATAACTGAGTTCGAAATAATTAAATACAGAGACTTGAAACAATGTAAGACACCAATGAACAATCTCATCATTTATACTAGAAATAAACGACCTTATAACACCACACACTTTTGTGTTTTAAAACGTGAACGCTCCTGAAGAAGCTGTGAAGCGAAACGTTGAGTGTCTAATTTAATAAAAACTACATTTTAGTGTTATAAGGCCGTTTGTTTCTAGTATTAATATGTCTTCTATACATCAATATGCACTACAGAAATTAAATAATCTTTATTATTTACATGATAACAAACACAGTGTGTGTACTTACTTGTTTGACGACGGATGGTCGCTTTTATTGGTTCAGAAATAACTTCTATCAGACTTCTAGTTTTTCTAACATCATCTACCAAACTGTTTAAACCTATAAAGACTAGCATTCATCATCTTCTTCGTGGGGATTCTATCAATGTTTTGGACCACTAGGTTATTCACGTCCAATTTCTATAATTTTATTCTAGCGCGTTCATTTACGCAACTCATAAACCAGATTATGTTTCCAATCAGGGCCGGCCTTAAGGCGAGTTCACTGAGGCAACCAGTGGCCAAGTCAATTGTATACTTCTAGTATCCAAACTCGAGAACCTAATACTGAGTATTCTACTCAGGCCCTACACCCTCATAAGGCCGGCTCTGCCCCCAGTCATGTGTTTAGTCTGATTTCACATAGAAATTTTGTTAGGTTTTATATTGAAAATACTATAGAATATACAAGGTTCTGAGAAACTTTAGAATTACTTCTAAGATATATTGTAAACACATTTTACATACAACATACATATGTTTATGCTTATCTTTGTTTTGTTTTTTCCTCATATTCTCTTCAGAAAGTTTACAAAAGAAGATCACAGATGGCATTAAAAATGAATGGAGGCGTAGATCGCAGTTTTTTTCAGTCGGAGATAGTATAGGACTGGAGGCAAACTGTGTTGTAATTTGTACGCTGTAAACATGTGATGAATTAATCATTTATTGTGTCTTGGAAGGGTATTAAACATATTATTGCATATTAAAACACAGCTTTATTGCTCTATTTAATTCATAGTATTATTTATTGTTATTCAACCGGGTTGCGGTCAGTTCATGTATATTTGAAAATTGAATTGAAGTTGATAATGATATTGAAATTTGAATTGATAACCTGTTAGGTGCAATAAAATATTTTAACATTTTGAATTCGGTAAAAATAAAAATAAATTGAAGTTCTACTATAACGTACAAATTACAACTCAAAGTTATTCTGTCGAAGCCTTGCTTACTGGTGTAACTTAATTAATATCTTTGTGAAGCCTCGAAGTATTTAGCAGTGAATAATGTCTTATACGTGGTAAGATTATTATTTAATATTTACTTGTAATATTATTTTTCTTTTTAGTTGCGATAAGACTAAAACTAAAAAAGTTCTGGACCTCAGAAAGGAATATAGCATTTGTATAACTTAAGGTGTATGACAGTTTTTCTAGTCTAGTTGTTTGTGTTGGTACTTATAAGATATAGTATCAAAAATACTTGTAGAAATCAAACATTAATTAAATATGAGATGTTACAGTAGAAACTGTAAGAATAATTATGTGGGTTTGGACAATTTTGATATAAGGGCTAGGAATGGCTTACTGGTTGGCATGCCCTGCAGTTTTGTTTGGGGGCAATGAATGTGTTATGACTGAAGTATGAGAATAACACTAACATTGAAACAGACAAAAGTGGCTATTCAGTCAGACAAGAGTAGTAATGGAAGTTGTTGATTATCTTCTTTCCCTCTAGTTTATGAGTTTAAAATTGAGATAGTTATGTACAGATAGTGTAGCTTTGCATAAAACTTTTATATTTCTAAAACAGTTTTTTTATGAATTGTATGTTTGTGTGGTAGAATGTAAACATTTGAAATACAGTTGAGGGTAATAGATTTTAACTTTGTACAAAAGTTATATTTATGTGATGGGTTATGCATTTTTTGTTTTTGTGCATGAGGAGTCATGACTTTCTGATACATAGCTTGTTTTAATGTGTTAGAAACAAACAGAAAGTAGTAATAATGCAAGTTTGTTGTACATTAGATCTCAACATGAAATCAATATTACTTTAAAGCAAAAGATAAAATTGTTATAATGATAAAAGTTTGTAGTAGTTTTGTATTTTGTTATTTTTCATAACAGTTTTAAAGCAGTTGCTTTGTAACATGTTTGTTGATGAGAAGTTGTGATGAAACTTCTGTAGTTTCATTATTTTCAACAATTTAGTTCTTTCATTAAATTACAATGTAGTTCTCAGTTTTAAGTATTATACAGTCTTAATATCTATAATTTTTATAAGAATGTGTTTTTGTGAAACAATATAATTCTTTTTGCATTTCAGTACTAGTTTATGGTACTATGATAAAATATTAATATTCAAAAACTAAACATAATATTAAATGATTTTAATTAGTTACAGTTTATCTAAAAAATTCTGAAGTCTCTGGTTTTCTCAATTTAGGGTAGCGCATCCAAGAAACTATGACCTAGAGAAAAAAACTGGACATTTAACAGCAGAGGAAGTCATAGATCATCCACTTAAGCCATTAACTATTATGGTAATTTGACTGAAGTCTTTGACTGTTTTAATAACCTATTTTGATCCAAGAGTGATATGAATGAATTCAGTGATTACCTTTATGTAATAAAAAATATGTGGTTGTGAAAGAAAGATTTTTAGCACTTCTTTGTAAATCATAATAAATGGCAGTGATTTAAAATTGTCTGAAGCATTAAAGCTTTATTGGAGAAACTTGTAATCCTGTCCAATGAGTAAGGAAACTAAGTTGAAAGTGCAATCTGCATTGTAAGCTGTTCTATATGAACATATTGTAAATATCTATTTGCATGATACAGTAAGTAGCTGGGGCTATTAAGCCCTTATCACAGTGCATCTCAACCAGGGTTCCATGGAATCCTTGGGTTTCTTCATAGACATATAGGGGTTCCACAGGGTTCTGTGGAATGCAAGAGTTCCACATGTTGTAATGAGTAAGTATATTCTAGTCCCTTAATTGCAATCCGACTACATCATATTTCATTATTAGTATAGTGAGTTTCATAATGACACAACATAACAACAAGTGACTGCATTGTTTTAAGTTAATGAGCAAGACTAGGTACAAACACCTGCTACTATTGCAGTAATGTTTTTTTGTAATGAATGCTGTGAAGGGTTCCATGACACAAATTTGATGCCAGAAGAGTTCCATGGGTTCAAAAAGGTTAAGAACCACTACCTTATATAATAATGAATTTTTAGAGTTATTTCATGTGAAAATAATATTAAAATCGGGAATTAACTTCATCTTATACTCTTTTATACAGCTGGTTATAAAACAACACCCTCCTTGCATCAAGATGGAAAAAGTTAGATTCTGTTTTCAATTACTTTCTTTAGTCTTCCATTACTACAAAATAATTACTTGACACGTATATTTAATTAACGTAGATTGTTAATACACATACAGTGTTACTGATTTTAACTTTTTTTGCTGTTAAATTTTTTTTTTTTTTCATACAGATAAGTGTACAATAATTGAGTTTCTAAAAAGTGAATCTGTTTTGTCAATTTTGAATAGTGGTTCAGCTTGAAACCTGACTAATGCAGTGAACGGCAAGTTAAAGTAACCTGTATCAATGGTTATGAATTTATTAGAGACTGTAATAAAGAAAGTTTACAGATAGTTGACATGGATTTAAAAAATGAAGGTCACATCTTATGACATGGATAATGCAGTGGATTTGGTTTACTTGGACTTTGAGAAATCTTTTGATATGGTGTTACATAAGGCAGTTCTTAAGACAGTTGAATTTGTTGGGGAAGAAGATAAACTAGTTATATGGATTAAGTGCTAGTTGAGTGGTAGAAAGCAGAAAATTGTCATAAATGTGATGAAATCACAGTGGATTAATATTACCATACCTCAGAATTATGTGCTAGGTCCTTTGATGTTTCTCATTTTCATTAACTCTTTCAATACGGGGTCAGTCAATGTGATGACCTCGTAACCATTTTGTGCTTGTTATAGTTTTCATGCTATAACTTTAAAATTAGTAGGCAAATGTTAACAAAATTTGGCAGATTATCAGTAAACATTACAAGGCTTTCATACACAAAATATCTAATTTTTTATTAAGTCGTAAGGTTTGTAAAGCAATGTTTCTCTCATGCCATTTTTTTTCTTTTCACATCTTGCCTATCTATCATGCAAAGTAATTTTCATTTTAAGATTAAAAATACTTTTATGCATCAGAAAATTTGAAATTTCATATGCGAAATCTTTATAATGTCCGTATAGTTATCAAATGTTTCTTAAGAAAAAACTTTATATGTTATCTCTTATTTTGTGTAATTAATCTCTGTATGGGTTCGATAGATTTGAATGATCTCGCAATCAACATAAAAAATTAGGAAATAAACATAAATTATGTCTCTTTCATTCTAGAATGAACACAATTTATAACATCAAAACATAAATATTTAGACGAAATAGCTTAAATATGATGACATTATACAATTATATATATTTATTATTTTTGTTATATTGTCTAGCTAACAATACAGAAGTTACAATGATGTGATCTCATGTTACTGTATCAAATAACACAAAAATAGACCTTTGGTCTGTACAAAGTAACTTGTCTTGGCC